GCAGCTTGCCAATGATAAGTACGAGGTGAGCTCATAAACTGACTCACCACACTAATAGCAAATGAAATATCTGGACGGGTAATGGTAAGATAATTTAACTTGCCTACTAACCGACGATACTTCTCTGGATCATGAAGAAGTTCTCCATGTTCATTGTCAAGCCTCACTCCAGGATCCATAGGTGTGTCACCAGGCTTAGAATCATGTAAGCCAACTTCCTTAAGAATGTCAAGAGCATACTTTCGCTGGGAGAGAGCAATGCTACCATTGGCATAGGCAACTTCAATGCCAAGAAAATATCGCAGACGACCTAGGTCTTTAGTGTTAAACTCCTTTTGAAGAAACTGCTTGAGTCGTCGTATGTCTTCAACATCGCTGCCTGTGACAATGATATCATCAACATAAACAACAAGAATAACACATCCTTTTGAAGATGACATACTAAATACTGAGTGATCCACACTACACCGATGCATGCCAAAAGTAATAACCGCATCACTGAACCGGCCAAACCAAGCACGAGGAGATTGCTTAAGCCCATAAAGAGCTTTTCGCAATCGGCACACCTTCTCCCCCTAAGCAACAAACCCAGGTGGTTGCTCCATATATACTTTCTCGTGAAGATCACCATGAAGGAAGGCATTTTTGACATCAAGCTGATGAAGAGTCCACTGAGACCAAGCAGCCAAGGAAATAATGATACGAACAGAAGGAATTTTGGCTACCGAAGAAAAAGTTTCATCATAGTCAATACCATAAGTTTGAGTATAGTCCTTTGCTACAAGACGCGCCTTTAAGTGCTCAACTGAACCATCTGGATGGTGTTTGACAACAAAGACCCAGCGACAACCTACCAATTGTTTATGAGCCGGCAAGGGAACGAGCTCCCAAGTCTTATTATGATGTAAAGCAGCCATCTCCTCCTCCATAGCGCGAGCCCACCCTGGATGGGCCAAAGCCTCCTGGACACTACTAGGCACAGACACAGAAGCAAGAGATGACACAAAGGCAGACATCTGAGGGCTTAAGTTATGATAAGACACAAAATTAGAAAGAGGATACCGAGATCAAGTACGGTGAGCAATAGGAGAACTGTCAGGAGACGATGGAAGAGGATCGGAAGCCTGGACCGAAGTTGGTGGTGGTGGTGGAACGCTTGCTAGTGAAGATGTATTACCCCAAACAGAACGAGAACCACGTGTATAGACCTGAAGAGGGGTCGGTGCTGGTGAGCCTGGATCCGGTGGAGCAGCATCAGAAGTAACAAACGGTGGCTCCGGCTGAGATGTAGGTGCAGAGGGTGGCAGAAGGTCCAGGGTTAATGGTGCTTGAGGACGATCATCGCCAAAGAATGCTTTATCCTCAAAGAAAGTCACATCAGCAGAAACATACTCCCGACAACGAGTAGGATTATAACAAACATATCCCTTTTGAGTACAGAAGTAACCAACGAATATACATTTTTCAGCACGAGTAATAATTTGTCTAATCCATGAGACAAAGAATGAACAAAACAGACACATCCAAAGATACGAGGGCGAACAGACCATAAAGGACGATCAGGATGAAGAAGAGCATAAGGAATAGCTCCTTTAAGCACGGAGGACGGAAGATGATTAATAAGATGACATGCTGTAAGTAGAGCATAGCTTCAGAATGATTTAGGTATATGAGTGTGAAGAAGAAGACAACGAGCAACATCCAACAAATGACAGTTCTTACGTTCAGCAACTTCATTTTGTTGCGGAGTGTGAGCGCAAGAACTCTGATGTAAAATACCATGAGATTTGAGAAATGGAATAAAGGTAGATGAAGAAAAGTACTCACGAGCATTGTCAGTACACAAACACTTAATAGAACAATCATACTACGTACGTACTTCATGATAAAACTGGTAGAAAGAATGAAAAACTTCAGTACGATCTTTTATTAAATATAACCAAGTTGTACGAGTACAATCATCAATAAAAGTGACAAAATACCGAAAACCAAATGAAGACTCTCGACTAGGACCCCACACATCGGAGTGAATTAACTCGAATGGATGTGACGCACGACTCAAAACACGAGGAGAAAAAGACTCACGATGGTGTTTACCTAAGTGACACATTTCACAATTAAACTGAAGACTTGAACTAGACACGAAAGGAAACCGTTGGAGTACGTCTGCTGATGGATGACCAAGACGACAATGTAATCGATAAGGATCATCCACAGCTTTATTCTGAACTGTTGTAGCAGCAGCAATAATCTCAGGTTCCAGGATGTACAATCCACCAGCTTCACGCCCACCACCTATTCGGCGTCTAGTCTTCCGATCCTAAAGAACACACGAAGACGAAGAAAAGATAATATCGCAATCAAGATCATGAGTAATAGAACTGATTGATAATAGATTGTAAGGAAAGTGTGGAATATGGTAAACAAAAGGTAAGGAGACAAAGGAACTCAATGATACACAACCTGTACCAGTAACTTTGGATTGAAAACCATCTGCTAAGGTGACTGACATAGAAGGAACAGATGAGGTGGATGTGAGAAGACGAGGATCACCAGTCATAAGATGAGTGGCACCCGAATCAATAACCCAAGAACGAGGAGGAGCTGTACTGGACAATAGACATGTAGGATCATTACGCTGTGCTAAAGTAGCAGTAGGACCAGAGATAGCACCACTCTCACTCTGTCGTGCTCTGACCAACTCATCATATTCTGCACGAGTCAACTGTACTGTACCCTGTCCAGAAGAAGATCCAAGGGAAGGAGCCCAAGGCTCAGTATCAATAGAAGCATGTAGACCCCGTAGTTCAGGATGGAGGTCATAACAATAATCAACAGTGTGCTCGAAAAGCTGGCAATGAGTACAAAAACGGTTCGCTCGACCACCACCACGTGCTCCTCTAGAAGTATTACTACCACCACCACGAACGGTACCTCGGCCTTGAAAACCACGACCACGACCACGGTAAGAACTATCAGAATTCCATTGTCCACCGCCGTTAATACGACCACGAGTCCCTTGACCTCCACGAGCCACCATAGCACTACTATCTGAAATTGCTGAATTCTTGGGACTGGAAGTGTAACGAGCAGCTCGAGAATACACTTCTTCAATGGAAGGAAGAGTGCTCTAAGAGGTAATCTGTTGACGAAGAGCACTATGATCTGGACCAAGGCTACGAAGAAAGAGCATGGTTATCATGTCCGCTTCTCGTTGCTGCATCTGAGTAACTGTGGTAGCAGGTGGAAAATAAGACTTGAGGCGCTGATACAAAGATGCAAAACGAGCATAATGTTCTGTCAAACTAGCAGCACCAATTTTGGCTTCAAATAAAGCCTCCCACATGTCACAAACTCGACTCATGTTATTCTGTCCATAATACAGTAAAGCACACTTTGTCCATATCTCACGGGCTGTAGTGCAATCCATGAAAAGGTGACGAATAGATTCAGCCATACTTCCCCATAAAAGTGTACGCAAAGTAGCATCTACGTACTTCCATTCTTCTAGACTAGCTGAATCTGCAGGTGGTTCTTCTTCAAGCCATCTAGACTGGCGATTAGAATAAATAAAAGTCGAAAGAGCCATCGACCAAGAAGGGTAATTGGTACCGTCCAACTTGACCAAGATATTGTGCAGATTAGTCATACTATAATATGAACCAAAAGATACTGAACTCGAAGAAGTACTAGAGGAGTCCAACCCCGAAGAAATAGACGGTGAATTAGATGAACCAGTAGACATCCTCACAAACCACTAATCACTGGAAACTTGATCCGCGTATGTAATAAATAACACACCCCACTTATTATATAACTTCTACGAGTATCCACAAATCTCAGTAACCCCACATGTCTCTCCAACTAATTCAATCAATTCAATTCAACCACACTAATTCAGTCGTTCCAAATTCAACTACTCTAATTCAGCCAGCCAAACTCAGAACTCTATCCACACAATTCAGAACACCATTTAACCCTTCGTAACATCATATAATAATATATAACAATCGAGCCTCATAAATCAACTACCCTACATCCAAATGTCACTTTCAGCAGCCAAATATCACTTCCACACAACCCTCGGCCTCAGAAACTCCCCTGATAACATCGATTTCTGGGTTTCAATACACAAAAACACTTGAGAGATCTGAGGCAAGTGAATTAATGGTCAGACAACACTGATTTCTGACCTAGATGAGTTCCAGTAGCGTTATTCTTGGGTTCGCCGGAGTTGGGCGACCCTGGATTGAGGTCGCCGGGGCCTGGCGACGCTGGATCGACGGTTTTCGGCCCTAGGCGACGCTGGGCTGAGGTCGCCGGACCAAGATCTCGCCGGATCTGAGGTCGCCGGCCCTGGGCGACGCCGGACGGAGGTCGCTAGAGGGATCTAGAGTGGGTCACCGGCGAGATCTACAGTGGTGGTGGCTAGGGTTTGCTGTGAGAAGTGTTAATTTTAGGGTTTAGGTTTTTAATTTAGGCTCTGATACCATGTTAATGATAAAAGAGTAACTGTTATTTATTTCAGAGATAACAAAGAGTATTTATAGGCTTAGGATTAAGCCTAATACATTTACACAAATACCCCCAACTTGCTAATACTCTAAAGTAATAAACCCAACATATCCGATGACTTTCCATGCAGTTTCCAACAATTTTCTCGGGTATGATAAAGACGTTTACAATAATCACAAAATTTACATTTCCCTTTGTTGGAATTCCGGGCATGTGATTTGTTGGAAGACGTTAAGAAATTTTGGCCATTCGATCCCCTCCAAGCGGGGCTGACATGGCTCGGTGTGCACCGTCTGATCTGGGCGCCGCAAGAATAAAACTTAGACCGTCTAATCGCGCGAGATGATTTAGGTCGTCTGAATGCTTGATGTGATATGGACTGTCTGATCCCGTGATCAAACCACGGCCGTTCGTTCCAAATGATAATCGCGTGTGTCCTGAGCCGTTGGATGGTGCAAATAGATCACACCCGTCCGTTTGGAAACGAGAGGCATCATCTTCGTCCTCCAAAAGACCAGTTCGCGAGCCCCCCGAACCTCTGAAGATGCCATGGCCGGACCTCGTTGCGAGTAGGCGCTGGTCCGGCATTGCCTTGGCTGCAAGAACGACTCGGTCCCCGACTTTGAGGTATTCCAACGAGGCCAGACACTGCGACTCCTCTTGCATCGCAAGTTGGTAGCTACAACCAAGCAAAGTAACTAGCTCCATGGCGAGGATTTGGTTGCGAAAAGGTAAGTAGCTCTCATTTAAGATCAACAGAAAGGATGTTACCTTCTCCTCTCTCTAATTGCACAGTACTGAGCTAGGATTTCTTCCAACCCTTGCAATTTTTCTTTGGCCATTTCTAATTCGTTTCATAACGCTGATAGCCGGTTGAAAATCGTGGTAATTGAAAGATTTCCTTGCTTTAGCTCCGATAGGGCTTGGATTATTGAAAAAAATTTAACCCTATCGAGCTTCCCGTACATCTCTCATATGTTTTTCCAAAAATTTTGGGCATCAAAATTTTGGGCATAAAGTTCCAGTATAGTGAGTAATAGCTCTTTCCAAGCCTCAGAGCTGCGGTGACTTCCAGGGTGAGGCAATTGCCAATCCACGTCCAGACAAGCTGGTTGCACTTCCTCCGGTGTTGTGCGAGCCGCTCATCGGCCAGAACGGGGACGGTTCTGTCGATGAACCCTTCTTTATCTTTTGTAATCAGTGTCCACCGGAGCTCTCGGGACCAGATGGAGTAGTTCTCCGGCTCCGAGAGTTGCTGCGAAATCAAGCAGAGCTTTGGTTGGCGGTGGTCGTATATAGAGGGTCTCCCGGCTCAGGCCGGCTGCCGGAGGTACCTGCGAAGGGAAAGAAACCAGGTCCGAAGCCCCGGTAAGGAAAACGAGTCAGACCCAAACCATTCTGGTTCGAGTAAGGCACCGGTCCGGATCTGGAATTGCTTACCTCCAGTTTCTACATTCATCAGTGTCGAATTCTCAATGATGCTTCCTCCCTCACGTATCATGGTTCGCGTCCATTTGATTTCATGTGCATTGAAAATCTTTTCCCGTGCGGGGTAGATGTTCCCCTTGCTTTTGTTTAGTAGTTTGTTGTACTTTAACAACCTTTGATCTGCTTTTCTCTGGAAACATTGAAAGTAGTGGTCTGCAAACAGGGTAGACTTTGTGCTGTATCATTATTTCCTATCACTTTCTATTGTGCTGAAGTTCTGGTCTTAGAGCTATGATAGATGGGAATAACGAAGCAAGAACCTTGAGAGGCCGCTTAGAGTCTTTTTCCTTATTTCTTAAGTTGCAGGGTAGACTTCGCAGTGAGCATTTCAGATCCTAGCTGAAGTGCCACTATTCTACAGTTCCAATTTAGAACATGCTAGCCAGCTTGCGCAAGCCAAACAAACGGATCTAAATCCTCTACTTTCTCTACGACCACAAAAGTATGCAGTTTATCGCGTGCCTGAACACAACTTAAACCGGGTTCTTCTCCACTGCCCTTGATTTCATCAATTCGCTCACTCTATCTGGCCTCATCCCATCTCCCTGCTTCTGCATAAATGTTGGAAAGAAGTACATCGTATTCACAATGATCTGGCTTCAACTTGAGCAGATGATCAGCCACCCAGCAGCCCAGCTCTATGTTCCCATGTATCCTACATGCCCAGCAAAGCACCCAAATATTAATATCTGGTTCAAAGTTTAGGCCTTTAATGAGTTCCAGAGCTTCTTCAAAAAGGCCAGCTCGGCCAAGAAGATCAACCATGCAAGCATAGTGCATCTGTGTTGGCTCAAGATTATGACACCAAATGTCTTTGAAGTACTTCCTTCTCTTCTCAACCCGCCCTCCATGTCTACACGCTGATAAGGCCGCAATACATAGAACAGAATCGTATTCCACACCACCATCCCTCATTTCTTCAAGAAGGATAATAGCAAGCAGTCTCTATTTCTCCCCAGCATCCCGTCACCCCTGATCAGAATGTTCCGAAAGGCCTCATCCCTCCGCTTCATACGGTCAAATGTTTCTCTAGAAACATCAATCTTTCCACAATTTGGCATATAAATCCAACAGTGAGTTTGCAACAGAGAGACGTGCATGAAGTTGCTTCCTGACCAGTAGCCCGTGAATTTCTTTACCCTGCTTGATTGCAGCTATGTTTGCACAAGCTGAGATAGCTCCGAATAAGGACACAATATCATAATTCGTATCCATGGAGCGCATTTCTTTCAATAAACTAAGCAATAACTAGTTTTAAAACTTTTAGTGCACTTAATCCTATATTTAATTATGAAACTTTGTTTCATCATGCGTAGTATTAAATGACTAGTTAATATTTCTTTTTCCAAAAACACATCACTAGATCTCCCTCGATTTATTTTCAAAATAAGAATATTCACATATTCCTTCTTTTTTCTTTTGATACTTTCATTGTCAACAATTGGTTGTTATTGTGTCTTGCTTTTATTGATGCTTCAAGTTAATTACTATTCCCAACTTTGTTAATTTTTATTTGGTTGTGTCATGATTAATGGTTTACACTTTTTCACTTATGTTACTATATTTAATATGTTATATAGAAATTCATGTCACAATACTGAGATATTAGCGCCCACATACTTCAACATTTTTATAGGAATTAATTATATTAAATTAAAAGGAGCATGAGATTTTTTCAGAATTAATAATAAAATTTCTAATATATATATTTTACAGTGTAATGCAGACTATACTTTTTTTTGGTCGAAATGCAGACTATACTTTGAACTTATTTCTATTGTAAAAATATGTTTGAGAATAGTAATATTTGTTAAACAACAAAAAAATTGAAAATATAAACAAAATGGCCAGAATATTAATTAATGTTTGAAAAAATTTGCGGTCTGTCGACGAACTGTATGTGTATCTCTATCTCTAATTCAAAAATGGTCCTCGGATAGATATTCGTGCAATTATTTTCTTCATTTTCCTCTCTTTTACTATTGGTTTTCCCATCCAAATACAACCTAAGCTGTGCCTCGGAGCATCTCACAAATAATGGTCAGATTACATGAAACTAGGGGTGGCAAAATGGGTCATAGACTCATATTTTGACCCATATTCATTATGCCGTGTGAAATATGGGTTGTTTAAAATTCAACATATGGGTTAAATGGGTCTACCAAAATAAAGCCCAATTTATGATAGGTCCTTAATGGGTCTGCCAATTCTTGAAATACCGAGTTATGACAGGGTACTTTCCTTAGTATGACCCTGAAACGTAGAACAAGTCATGCATTCGTCTTATGTGATGTGTCGTCGCCACACATGCACATTTCTCTAATTCTTTATAAGTATTTCAATATAAAGGTTTTTACCTTCTTTTTTTTTACTTTATACTTTTTAAATTTTAGTTGAATTTTTTTCAAAACTTAAAGTGGGTTAAATAGATGGATACGGGTTTTTATAGGTTGGATTAAATATGGATGTATTTTTGTAATATGGGTCGGGTCGGGCCGAGTCGAGTATGGGTCGAGCGTAGGCCGGTTTGGGTATGAGTCACTAATTTGTATTACATATAAATGGATCAATTTGGATTTGACCATTTTCGAACCAACCCTCCCATTTGATGGCCCTACGCGAAACTCGCCATGACCAACGCTTGACTAAAAGAGTTATTTCAACGTCATCGGAAAAAAAGAAACAAAGAAGAGGATTCTTACAATCATAAGCCAAAGAAACAAAAAAGAAAAATAAAGCTTGGGGGAGGGAGAGGATTTAATCTAATACGGTTCCAAACGCGCTCCAATAGAATTAAGATGTGATCCCGCCCTTCCGAAAAAGCCAACGATCCTGCCACCACCTGATACCGACGGGATACGAAATTCCGTTACCATTCTGTTATCTTCCCCTGACCATGCTCCAAAGTAGAGTCCATACGGCCCGTAAGTGGTCTTCGTGGTTTGTATTTTCAAGTTGTGGATGATAGTTTGAGGACTGATTCCATTTCCTATCAAGCAACCCGATATCGAAACCAAACGCTCCTTGGGATAATCTAGACTGACCTGCAAGAGTAGCAAAGTGGAACATGTTTTACTTGTGAAAACATATGAAGGTTGGACATGTAAGATGCCCGAAGAAGTGCCTCTGTCTTCGATGAAAAGAGACTGTGCTACATGAAGCTGAGAACATTTGTCTAAAGCAAAATGCACACGAGAACGACTTACAGACAGAAAAAAAAGATGAAAGAAGAGAGAGAGAGAGATTGAGATATGGACTAACCTGCATCCATTGAGGCCCGTCTCCTCCGCCATTTTGAGGGCGGTAGTCCTGCATCCATTGAGGTCTGTCTCCTCCACCATATTGGGGGCGGTTCTCCTGCATCAATTGAGGCCCGTCTCCTCCACCATGTTGAGGGCGGTCGACAAAGGAACCATTGTTATCGTACACAATCCCGATGGAGTGAATTAGGTTGCTGAAACTGATGCGAAATCCCCTCACATCGGTATGCACTCCATCATCCCATGGAGTCCCATCAAAGCCTCCAAAGGGTCCAATGGTTTTGAAAGGATACAGGTACGATATGGGCTCCGCATACACTCCTATGGAATTGAGAGTCTCACCGCATCTTCCATAAAAACCGATGATTTTGCTTCCAGTTGATGGGTACCAAAAGTACTTCCCCTTCTCCTCGCCAAAGGGACCATGTCTTCCTCTATTACTATGAAATGTGAGTGATCGAACGATAGCATTATTATTATCGTCACCATCCTCTTGGTTGTAACCAGAGATCGATGTCAAGTACTCTCGTGGATAATCCAATCTAACCTGCACAATCTCAAAAGTCTCTCTCAAAATTGAACTGAGTGATGTAAACAAGACCTATTTGTCAAGTTTAATTTACTAAATTACATAACCGGACACATATCAACATCGTACTAACCAAGGAGATATGAGTAAGTAAACATCGACAAATTTGGGAGGGAAAAAAACACTAACCCTTGTGACCTTGGCCTCGACTCCTCTGATGTGACCGCCATGCATAACTGAGCAAACTTGTTCACCACTTTTGTCGTACACAAATTTAATGTAATGGATAACCGCATCATGCAGGACCTCAATTTCCCTCACACCGTTGAATCTCCCGTCATCCCAAGCACATCCACCTAGGCCTCCAAATGGTCCGATTGATTTAATTGGGTAGAGATGTGAGATCGGTTCAAAATATGCTCCAATAGCTTCAAGACGTTCACCACTTCTCCCATAAAATCCAACAATTTTGCCACCTGTTGCAGGAGATGAAAAGTGCGTTCCCATTTCATCACCAATAGGTCCGATCTTTTTTTTGTTAGTTTGAAACATGAGAGATCTAATGCTGCCCAAAATATAACCGGATATTGAGGTCAGATACTCATCTGGATCATGTATATTGATCTGCAATAATAGACAAAAACCGTCAAACTCATTATTTAACTTTCGAAAAAGTCTCCTGCCAATGTAGGCAATGTAAGTTTCATAAGGATTTACAAAGCATATGTATGTACAGGAACATACCGTATGGATGTTCCTCACTATATGGAACTTGTTTCCATCAATGCCACCATGTGTCTCCGATTGCCACAATTCTTTGTTCTCCTCTTCATACTGAAACATGATTGATCGGATGTATGACCTTTTATTTGGTACAAATTCAATGATGATTTTCCTTACATTGGTATGCTTATTGCCATCATCCCAACATGACCCACTTGAACTCCCAAATAACCCCACAGACTTGAAGGGATAGAGCTTGTTAGAGTATAGCTCGACTTGGGCTCCAATAGATTTGAGCACATCACCATTTCTTCCGAAAAACCCGATAATTTTCCCAGCGTCTGATGGTAAAGAAAAGTACCTCTCTTCCTCTTCACCAATGGGTCCCCATACTCTTTTGTTGGTTCGAAATGTGAGAGAGCTGATAACAGTGGTGGAGAAAAAACCTGAAATTGAGGTTATGAACTCATCTGGGTAATCCAATTTAACCTGCAAATTAGAAGACACTAACCAAGATTATATAGGGTCTAGTGGATGTGAATAACTGTATTTCACTCTTAATCAGTAAATTCAGTAGCTAGTGTACTGGGGAAACGTGAGGCAAATATCATCAATTAAATAGGTTATACAAATCACCATCAACCATCTTTTAAGTGTTTTAATAGGGATCAATACAAATTTCATGCAGGAAAAATCTGGCTAAGAAACCACCTAATTATAGCAGTCCTCACATTGAAAAGTAACGAAGGAAATTAGTTTTCCAACCTCGTAAATATGTGGCCCGAGTTGTCGACCATGCCTAGTGGATCGAATAGAACCATCCATGTTAACATAATCTATATCAATGGAATATACGAAGAATCCATAGCAAACAACAATCCTCTTTATATCAATGTATCTTCCATCATCCCAAGGATCTCCATGGTCACCTCCAAAAGGCCCAAAAACCTTAAAAGGATGAGTATGAGGAATCGGCTCATAATGAGCTCCAATGGACTCGAGATGAGGGCCATTGCAACTCCCGTGAAACCCGACAATTTTGCCGCCGGTGTATGGAGATGAAAACTGCCTCCCTTTATTAGCTGTTCCGATCGGTCCATGATCCCTTCTATTGGTGTGGACTGTTAATGACTGAAGAATGGTGAGTCCAAAAACTTCTTCAGTGTAGCCCGAGATGGATGTCAAGTACTCACTTGGATGGTCGAGCTTAATCTGAGAAAGAATAGATAAAAACAAAAGACTTCAAGAATAACTATCTACTTTAACAATGAATAAATAGACTTCACCAAAAAACAAAGCATTGAGGACATCAACAAAATCATATTGCGCCATGAAGATAATGTTGATAACTTTCATATCAAAGCTTACCGTATATGTTTTGCCTCCTCCACTCGTGCCATGTGTGAACGGACCAACCGGGCGTCCATGTTCATCATATAAAATAGAGATTGACTTAATTGCCGAATCGAAGCCTATGACGATTTGCCTCACATCCGTGTATTTTCCGTCGTCCCAAATGTCCATACCACTGTGACCACCAAATGGTCCGAACGCATCAAATGGATACGTGTGAGAAATTGCCCCAAAATGTGCTCCGATTGAGTCGAGATGGCTGCTACAATTCCCGTGAAAACCGATAATCTGTCCACCAAAATGTGAGAGATCAAAAGGCCGTCCTGTTTCCGAACCAAATGGTCCGTACGTCTTCTTGTTGCTCTGGATCTTGAGAGACCGAACAACGTCATGACCTTCATAATCATCAATATGGCCTGATATAGAAATTAGGTATTCACTTGGATGATCCAATCTCACCAGCTGCAAGAGGTGCAAAAATTTTTGAGTGTTACCATCATCACATCCATCTCACATCTAATATAGCTTGCCTTTGTGTTTTTGTTTTCTTGGATCAATATAATTCCTTCACTGTGAAAAAATCATTTACTTAATACTTATCCCTAGCAAACAAGGAACGGATGACAGTTTTTGAGTTTTCAAGTTCTTTTCTATAAGTATGTCCTTGAGCAAACCTGCCGCACGCCGATTTTTCTGCAAATGAAAGGCAAGATAATAAAGTCTCTTAAACAAATTGAAAAGAGACGAAGTAGATACATAAAAGAAGAAAAGTGAATGCTGGAATTTATGCCTTCGTACTTGGCAAAGTTACGTGAAGTGGTAACACGACAACACTTTCGTAGATGTTTACATGTCGGCCATGATCTACTGACTACCTTACCTTCTTCTATTTAATAACTTTTGCAGTAGACTATTTATAGACACACGAAAAATGATATTAAACTTGTAGTTTATTCTGTTTACCTTCTTATAAGCGATGAGCAGAAAAGTACATGATCAGTCAGTTAGAGTGGCTGAAAACTGACCTTTGCGCGGTCATGGTAGTAGTGATCTTCACCGTGCTGGAAACTCACCAAACAACCATTTTGGTCATAATCGACGGTCATGAAATTTATAACTGACCGTCCATAGAGACTAATTTGCCTCACACCCGTATGTGTCAAATCATCAAAAGCATCGCCGCCTTGACCTCCATATGGCCCGACGGACTGGAAGGAACTAGAGAGCGAATCGAGATAAGGGCTTCTCACCAACTTCTCCAATATCTCATGCCATTGATCTTTTGACTTGTCATTTAGGAACGAGCCAAACCCTTCGAGAGACAATGGATGACCTCCTGCATAATGAGCTAGACTTTTGGACAGCTCCTCATAGCCTTCTTGAGGTTCTTCTCTCCTCGAGGCATGGCGACAAAAGAGCCGAAGTGCTTCATTTGGGTCCAATCCTTTGACGATGTACTGGTCGTCTACTTTGAGATCTTTCAGCAAGTTTTGGTCTCTGGTTGTGATCAAAATCCTGCTCCCTGGACACAGCAGTTCTCGCTCTCCGGCCCCGAAGTAATTGATCTGTTCTTTCCTAGTAACATTATCAAGAACAAGAAGAACCTTTTTATGGCACATGTTACTATTTATCTCGTTGATGTTAGTCTGAATGTCGCCATACATCCTCCATCCTTTCGCCTTTATGAGATCATGGAGCAGCTTCTGTTGTAGGCCTAGTAGACCGACAAGATTATTTTGATCTGCTTCTCCGATTTTATCAAGAAAAATGAAGCACTCGAAATCGCGGCGAATGCGATCACAGATGACTGCGGCTGCCATCGTCTTACCTGTTCCTTCTACTCCACATATGCCTATGATGCGCACGTCCTCCTCTTGGCCCTTTCTAATTAAAGAAATCACCTCGTCTACCAAGAATTCCACCCCTATTGCTTTTTTCACAAAGTAGAGTGGCCGTGTTTCGCGGATTTTCTCGACAAGGTACTCTACTATTATGTCCACGAGTCTCCCTTCATCCCTGATGTTAAGCGTGGTTAAGAATATAAGAGAAATAAATGTAATTATATGCACCAAGAGACAATATTCAAGATTGTACACATAGTCGCATACATATGAATAAAAAGACATCCAACTTGACTATAGCAGTGGTTGTTAGCAAGTTTTTCTGCTGATGTAGCATGCACATATCGCCAGTTATTTTACATAAAATCAAAACTTCGAGTGCTGTGTTGGATGTTCAACGGTATATGTTGTCGATCATAACTTGTTTACAAGCTCTGGGGAGGCATTTATGCTGTTCCAGGTCTCCGTACCCTGTTTTCTGAATTTATGCATTGTTACAGAGGTCGCTTGGTTTTTTTTTTTTTTTAATGAGCAAGAGTAGACTTGTTATCATCGAATATGCGCAGTAGTCCAGCAGCAAAACACAGCAACGAAGCACATCAGAAAAGAGGGTTAACAATTTGTAGATGATATTACACATTGGGTCAAAGTTCAGAAATTACATTACGCAAATTAAAAGTTTAGATACGATATTATACATTGGACCAAAGTTCAGGAACCATTTGCACTATTATTCCTTAATCATTAGTAAGACATGGACATGAAAAGTTACAGGATGAGTTGGAGTTTAAGAAAATTGCTACCTGGAGGGCCCTCCTCTCACTCCACATTGTTATTGTCTCTACAGTCGTTGCTGCTGCCTATATTGGTGGGATTAGCAATAGATGGGTATATATCACCTGCGTTTAATGTTGGTTTCCTGTAAATTGTTTTGCTTGTTTTTCTTCGAAGCTCAACATTCTTCGTCAGTTTTGCCGAAATTAACTAACAAAAGGACGTCCACCTTTATTTGAAGTATCGAAGATCTTTTAGAAGTTTAAAATGGATATTGTACAATAGTTAAGTTCACATCTTTCAGAACTCTAGGTTTTAGAGACATTGTTTAGACAATACTTGTAACTTCATTTTTTGGCACATGGATGTAGGAACTTGATCTTTTCATGCAAGATACTCTTAATTTTTGATAACTCAAGAGCACGAACCAGTCACTCAGAAGGGAATTAGCACAGTAATCCACCATCTTGCCCCTTACTTTAATCTAAGTTCCCTCGACCAAAAGTCTAATCCATAACCATCTGTTCCTGAGCCGAAAGCCTAGGAACCCCCTTACATGAGTTGGGCACAATATTCTTAATTGTAAAATATGGTAGATACATTTGTATCTACCATATTTTACATCGTGTGGAGATGGTATGTACGAGCCCATCATGGACCAGAAAATGGTGAAACTTGAAAGAGTTTGAATTTCACATTCAACATCGAACACAGATAAGTGTCAGTTTTGAATATAATGTGTTAGTGTGTATGTGTGCGAGATAAGACTCGGCAAGGGAGACAACAAAAGGGCAAGGAAGGTTCGATAGTAGTTGGTATCACAAATAGAGAGGAAATATGTAGTTTTTGTTGGTCTGCTGTTGAGTATACACAATTAGATGACCACCAAGCCTTTTATATAGGCTTAGGGTGTGTGTGGTAACAATTTTGTTCTCGAAAATAATTTCTATTTAGAAATAGTTTTTTCTATTTTTATTCTCCAGACAAGTTTCTAAGCAGAAAAACGAATTTGATAACTGTACAAAATTTCTATTCCCCGAATAGAAAAAAAATAGAAATGCGTTGGTACAAGTCTAAAAATTTCTATTCCTAGTTTTTTTTCATTGAATTATAAAAATGTTAGTGCAGACTTCACAATTTATGTTTGAATAAAACTGGACTAGAATAAGAATAAGAATATATTATGATATAGAATTGGATGACATTAATACAATCATAAAGAAAATTACTCATTATAGACAAATCAAATACCGGGTGATGGTCGAGGAAATTATAGTTTATGGTTTAGGGGTTTTAGGGTTCAAGATTCGGGATTTGGGGTTTAGGGGTTTAGGGTTTGGGATTTTAAAGTTTTATTGTGTAGAGTGTAGGGTTTAAGTTACGATAAGCTTGTTTCTCTATAATAACATAATTTCTCCTTTTGTTCCTAGGAACAAAAAAGTAAATTTTTTTACTTATTGTTTTTGTTCCAAATCTATTTCCTGGCCATTGATCTATTCCGATGAAAAATTAACTGACATATACAAATAGATTTTTGTTCTTTTTCTGCTTAGGGAAACAAAAAAAAAAAAAACAAAAAAAAAAAGAGAAACATAAATGTTACAAAACAGGCCCTTAGTAACAAACTTAGTCATGCAAAAATCTTTGCTTTTGTCAGAGGTTTTTTTCTTTTCTTTTTATTTTTTGGCCACTACTTGCATTATAGTCTAGAACCTTCTAAGAGTCCACACAAGTCACCTGTTAGTCTAGAGGATTGTAGACATCACTAGAGGCGTCTAGATTTTTAGAAAATGGAACCGATTTTAACACTCCTCCATGATCAATTTTTGTCATATTCCAAGCATACTTCTTAATGTCTCGAGCTTGGTTAGCGATAGTGCTTTAGTAAATATGTCTGCGACTTGATCTTCGCTTTTGCAATATTTGATCTCGATCTCTTCGTTATTTTGTACTTATCATATGAAGTGATATTTGATGGATATACGTTTGATTCTTCTATTAAAGACAGGATTTTCAGAAATAGCAATAGTGGACTTGTTGTCACATTGAAGTTCGTTCTGTGTACACTTTTCTAATGTCCTATAATATTTTTTGAAGCCATAATGCTTGACTAGTGATAGTAGCAGCTGGGATGTACTCGGCCTCTGTAGTAGACTGTGCCACTAAGTCTTGTTTTCTAGATGCCCATGAGAACATTCGAAAATCCAGTGCGAATGCATAGGCAATAGTGCTCCTCCTATTGTCAACTAAGCCTGTGAGCAGCTTGGCGGTTACAATTGGCCGATACCAAATACCATAGTCTACTGTTTATCCAGACTTCTTTGGAAGCATCTTCATAGCATTCTTGTTCCAAGGCAGTAAAGTTGCATGTTTTATAAACTCTCCTTAGAGATTTTATTTTTAGTATAGCAAATGATGGAGTAGATTCTTCTTGCATTGCGCCTAGAGAAGATAGTGGTGTTGCACCCTAAGTGGTGAAATCAGATGCTTCACATTCTCCTTGTGTTGTTGATTCCTCTCATGTAGAGGTATGTCTGGAAAGATGACATACTTCTTCTTGATATCCTCTTCCTCCCAGTTTCAGGCAGCATTCTCATCGAACTCGACGTCTCGACTAATCATCAGCTTATTAGTTCTTAGATTGTAGACTAAATAGCATTTTGACTGGTTGATGTAACAAATGAATATTTCCTTTTCTATCTTGTCATCGAGCTTGCTCCTTTTATGAGAAGTGACGTGGAGGTAGCATATACTTCCGAACACCTTGAGATGCTTTGTTTTGAAGGCTTTAGTCCGCTCCATGCTTTGACTGGAGTTTTATTTTGGACTGCTTTAGTTGGATACCTGTTTACCAGGTATACTTCTGTATACATTGCTTCAGCCCAAAAAGAGTTAGGAAGTCATTTCTCCTTTAGCATTGATCTTGCCATCGCCATGACAGTTTTGTTCTTAATTTCCGCAACTCTATTTTGCTCTAGGGTATAGCCAATAATTAGTTGATGATGAACGTCTTTGTTTTCACAGAATAAGTTGAACTCATTGGAGTTGTATTCAGTGCCTCTATCGCTTTTTAAGATTTTGATGCTGTGACCACTTTGCTTCTCGACATGGTTCTTAAATTTCCTTAAAGAAAACCTTCCATCTTTCTCAAAGAAAGTAGGCCCATGTCATTTTGGTATTATCGTCGATGAAGAGAACAAATTGTTGAAAATATGTTTCGAGTTTGAACCCGAAAGGAAAGTTTCCTAATTCAAGCAGGTTTTCTATTTTGAATAGGTTTCCTAATTGATGGTTCCTAGTTGGAAATGGTTTCCTAATTGGAGAAGGTTTCCTAAAAAGAAGTTTCATAATTTGGATCCAATTCTTGTCTATAAATAAGAAGAGGATGTTAATTGTGAAGATTATCAAAGAGGAGCTTTTGCTAGGGAATTACACTCTAAAGATATATGAGTATTTGTAGCGATTAAATTCTTGTGGTAAGAATTTGTGTAATTCCTTCATAAGATTGAGAGATTATTTCGTGAGGTATTTGGGCTAAACATTGTTTGAGTCGTTGGGTATAATTGCGGCTTGAGAAACACTTAGAGTGTTTAAGTAACTCAAGTGTGGTTGTAATCTCCGTTATATCGCTTGATCTATAGTAGAATTCCGTGCTGCTCTTCCCGTAGACGTAGGTTACTACAATCGAGCCACGTAAATCTGGTATCCGATTTATTTTCTTGTTCTGTCAATTTTATTGTTCGATCACTTGGCTTCCACAATAATTACTATTAGAGCTAGGCTTGGCTAAGTTGAAGTGAATCGATGGTGACAGAAGATGGAAAAGTGAAAATCCACAGATTTGATGTGAAAGATTTTGATTTCTGGAAGATGCAAATTGAGGATCATCTATATCAGATGAAACTGCACTTGCCCCTGTCTAGGAAGAAGCCAAAGACAATGAAGCAAGCTGATTGGGAATTGCTGGATAGACGAGCTTTGGGTGTTATTCGGCTAATGTTGGCTCGTAACGTCGCGTTTAAAATTGTGAATGAGAAAGCCACTGCGGGTTTGATGAAAGCCCTGTCGGACATGTATGAGAAGCCCTCTACAATCAACAAAGTCTACTTGATGCGACGTCTGTTTAATTTGAAGATGAGCGAAGGTGCGTCAGTTGTTGATTATATTAATGAATTCAATGTGATCGTTAGTCAATTGAGTTCAGTTAAGATTGACTTTGAAGATAAGGTACGTGCTTTGATTCTATTATCTTCATTGCATGATAGTTCGAATACTACTGTCACTACTATAAGTAATTCCTCTGGGTTAACAAGTTTGACATTTAACGGTATTTGAGATTTAATTCTGAGTGAGGACATCCGTAGAAGAGAATTTGGTGAACATGTATTTGCTGCTTTAGTAGGTGAAAATAAAGAAAGAACTAGTACACGTGTTAGTAGGAGTAGTATGAACTCAAATAGACGTAGTTAGTCTAAGTTTGGTGGTGTCGTCTATTTGAGCTATGGCAAGAGGAGTTATCTTAGAAGGGATTGCTTTAAGCTAAAAAACGAGAAAGGGTAAAGAAATTAGACTTGGGTTCATGGATGATGTTACTGCTATAGCATATGGTAATTTGGATAGTGCTGATTTTGTCTTGTCTGTCACTGATGATTCATCGTTTGGCGGATGGATTATGGATTCTGGTTGTTCGTTTCATGCTACATTAAACAGGAGCTGGTTTACTACTTATCAGTACACGGATAGTAGTAAAGTGCAATTGGGGAATAACGTTGAGTGCGATGTTGTAGGTGTTGGTGATGTTAGAATCAGAATGCATGATAGTATTGTGTGGACATTAACTGGAGTAAGGCATGTTCCAGAGTTGAAGAAAATCTTATTTCCTTGATTGCCCTAGATTCAGCTAGGTGTCGATATTCTTCAGAATGTGGAGTTCTGAAAGTTGTTCGAGGTGCCTTGGTGATAACGAAAGGAATCAAGCACGCCCTGTATGAACTTCAAGGTGAAATAGTAACGGAATTCGCTGTGGAGACGTCGAATGAATCTATTCGAGAGTCTGAATTATGGCATATGCATTTGGGACACATTAGCGAGAGAAGCCTGAAGGTTCTAAGTGAAAAAAAATTTGCTATGTGGTTATATGGCTAACAAACTGAATGTATACAGGTCCTGTGATTTAGATCAACGGCGAAAAGTGCAGTTCAATATGGTTGTCAGAGAAACCATGGAAATTGCAAAATTGATTCACTTGAATGTTTGCAGGTTGTTGTGATTTTCTTTGAGGAAGAGTGCCAGATTTATGTTAACAGTTATGGATGGCTACTCGAGGAACACTTGGGTGTTTGTGCTTAGGCACAAATTTGATGCTGTTATCAGGATCAAGCGGTTTAGAGCTTTGATCGAAAAGGAGACTGGCAAAACGATCAAGCATGTGCGGATTGACAGTAGTATGGAATTTTGCTTGAAGCTGTTAAACGAATTCTGCATGAAGAAAGGCATAGTGAAACACCGCACTAGTGCTAATGAACCACAACATGTTGCAAAATTGATGAGTAGAACATTACTAGAGATGGCCCATAAAATGCTCTCTAGTTCTAGTATAGCTAGGAAATTATTGGCGAAGCGAGCTACCTGATGAATAGATCCCCATCGACTGCGATTGGATGTCGAACTCCCAAAGAAGTGTGGTCAGGTAACGTTGTTGATTATTCTGTTACTAGAATATTTGGTTACCCATGTTGTGTTCAAGCTAGTAATGGTAAGATCGATGGAAGGGCAAGAAAGCGCATGTTTCTAAGTTATGCACAACGTGAATGGGGCTATAAGTTGTGCTCGGAATTGAATTCACCTGTTGTCAACAGAGAAGTTACATTTGACGAGTCTCCAGTACTTCTAGCTATGAGTGATTATAGCAGTGTTCGTACGGATCTGAACAATGTTTAGCTTAAGGTGGAGTTGCAACCAGAAACTCCTGAGGTAGCAGGTATTAGTAGAGTAATCAACACAGATAGTGCTTGTAACGAGGTGGAGCCTGTAGAGCCAACAGTTGCTGTAACTGCTGATATTGACAAGATACGTATTCGATCTCCCGACAGATATTGATACAACAATAATAGTTTTGCTTTATCTATGATTGAGGAGGTCATGTCGGAAAATCCTTGCGAAGTAGTTAAAGGTGCATGTGAAGTTAGTGTTCTAATGAGGTCCATGGTTATGGCGAAGTTCAAGCAAGGCTTGGACTTGAAAAACGTCTGTGGCGATTGAGCCCATTCGGGCTATAGGAGAGTAGTAGCGAAGTTCTAAAGAAGCGATTGTGACTTGATTCAAACATTGAGCTAATGTGGAGATTGTTGAAAATATGTCTCGAGTTTGAGCCCAAAAAGAAAAGTTTCCTAATTCAAGTAGGTTTCCTATTTTGAATAGGTTTCATAATTGATGGTTTCCTAGTTGAAAAAGGTTTCCTAATTAGACAAGGTTTCCTAAAAAGAAGTTTTCTAATTTGGATCCAATTCTTGTTTATAAATAAGAAGGGGATGTTATTTGTGAAGATTATCAAAGAAGAGCTTCTGTTAGGGAATTACACTCTGAAGATATCCGAGTGTTTGTAGTGATTAAATTCTTGTGGTAAGAATTTTCTGTAATTCCTTCATGAGATTGAGAGATTATTTCGTAAGTAATTGGGACTAAACACTATTTGAGTTATTGAGTGTAATTAGGGTTTAGGAAATACTTAGAGTGTTTGAGTAACTCGAGTGTGGTTGTAATATCCGTTATATCACTTGATCTATAGTGAAATTTCGTGCTGCTCTCCCTATGAACATAGGTCATTATGACCGAACCACTTAAATCTAGCGTACGATTTATTTTCTTATTCTGTCAATTTTTTTGTTCAATCGCTTGACTTCTGCAACACAAGTTACTTATTTTGGCTAGGTGAAGGGGTCCTCATTAGCCACATTCATCCACAAAAATATTCCAATGTCTTATTAGCTCTCCATGCACTTTCAAATTGGAAGGGCTGCCCTTGTTGTCTTTAAGGAGACCGCCTTCACAAACATCTGAAAATTCTAAAATATAATTAAAAGCTCTCTTTCCGATGGAGAGTTTTTAGGCCAGTCAAGTTGAAGTGGCCAAAACTCCGTTGCCATAGCCCTGAATCAACAACTTGGGCTCTCATGGCTATATCTTTGACATATTTCCATCAAATAGGAAAGTTCTCATTCTCCATTACGGATCATTTGGCCCACACCAAATATGATTTGTGAGACCCCCGAAGGAGAGTTTTTAGGCCACAAAGTTAAGGGGGAAAAAATCCGTTAAAAAAAAAAAAAAAAAGCTATACTTAATCATCAAATAGGCAAGTTTTTTTAGGTTTAAAATTTAAGACCAAGGACTAGATATATGAATATATATATATATATATATATATATATATATATATATATATATATATATATTGGTCTTTCTTTATTTCAATGGCAATAATGCCTTTTCTTTCCCATTGGCTAATGCACCGTTACCTAATCTCACTTGGACTTTCATCGATGTATCAATATCGGTGAATATGGATTCATCCCCGTGATGTGATTACTACACCCACTATCAATATACCACATATCATTCTTCTCGACATTTGTCGTTTGGCTTGCATAGAATATATTGTCCGTGTTTTCTTTTTCTTCGATAGAATTAGCTCGATAATTTGTTGTCGAGCAACAATCTTTTTCTACGTGGCTATATTTTTTACAAGAGTGCATTGTGGTTTATCTTGAAATTAACCAGCAATCTTTTTGCAATTGATTTATTTTCTTAAAAATTATCAAAGGATCCAAAGGGCAGTTGAAAAAAAAATTTGTTCACCAATATTTTTCAACTACCCTTTGGTCAATGATATTATCTCCATAGGCCTTCATTTCATTTACTAGTTCTTTTAATCTTCCACAATATTGTTGGAGGGTGTCATAATCTTTCATTTTAGCATTCTCAAATTCCCTTCAAAGAATTTGAAGTTGAACGATGCGTACGTTTTCCGTGCCTTGAAACTCTTCTTGTAGTTTAATACATGCCTTTTTTTGCGGTCTTTGCTCCAATGATTCGGAGAATGCTTGCCGGATGACATAAACAGCCCTTTCAACCTTTCATAGTTGCTCTGCTAGAACGCATGTACCATCTGTCTGAGCCGCTTATCCTTTCTCTGCGATATTGCATAAATCTTGGGCCATTGGGAATGTGGTCATTTTAAAGCTTCAATAGTCATTGTTATTTCTATCGAAGTTAGGAATGGGTAGTGAGGTAGAGTTGGCCATAGTTTTGCTATCGAATATTTAGGTGGAAAACTTTAGTTATGAATTAGGTAGGACAAAACCCCAATACCAACTGAGCAAGGCTTTGATACCACCACTAGTTTTAATGTTAATGTGCTAGTATGTATGTGTCTAGGATAAGACTTGGGTATTGATAAACAAAAGCACAAGGAAGGAAAGGTAATGCTTATTAGATAGTAGTGCGTATTGCAAGTGGAGAGGGAATGAGTAGTTTTTGTTGGTCTACTGTCGAGTGTATACAATTGGACGATCACCGAGCCTTTATATAGGCTTAGTAACCCACTTAGCCATGCAAAAATCTCTTATTTTGTCAGAGATTTTTTTCCTGTTATTTTTATCCTTGGCCACTACTTCCCTAATAGTCACCTACTAGTCTCAAGAATCTTGTAGAGTCCACAAGTCACCTACGATTCTAGAAAATTATAAACATCACTAGAGGAGTCTAAATTTTTAGAACATTGATCAGATTTTAACAATAACTAATCACATTACGACTAAATCATAATGATCGACTCACGAAATTATGATGCAAGGAACATGAAGAAGAGATACTTACTCTCCGGCGTCGTTCCTCAAGCCGAGTCCTGTCAATTGCTTAGTCTCTCTCAGGGCGTCCCTCCATTTCCGTATCTGCCCTTCATCTGTCGCGTTTCCACACAATCTCGCAAAACCTCGAGCGAATTCACTTCCGCCCTCGAAGTGAGAAATGTCTCCGGCTTTTACCTCGTGGAAGATGGGAACAACCAGGTGACCATGGTTTCCGAACCTCTTCTTGCACTCCAGAATCTCGACCAGCTCGTTCATGCACCACTTCGAGTCGGCGTAGTTCCCGGAGAACACAATCAAGGCAATCTTCGCATGCCATATCGCTTTGAAAAGCTTGGATTTGATTTCTTCCCCAATGTCTTCTCTCGCGTTGTCTCTGAAGAAATTGATTGAGGCCCGCTCCAAAGCGGAGAAGAGGTGCGATATGAAGTTTCTTCTCAGGTCCTTGCCTCGGAAACTGACGAACACATCGTGTTTCCATCGAGGTAGAGGGCGAGGAGGAGGAGGAGGAGGAGAAGGGGAAGGAAACATGGTTTCTGTCTTTTCAGTCAACGCTCCTGCGGTGATTTGTTATCAAGCTAAAAGCTTCGTTTGAAGGGTAGATAGATGTGGGTTTGATTACGGCACTGGAGAGAGACTCATTTGACAAGCATTATATGCAGATTCCAGCGGTGCTATTAATTTACAGAATTTGGGTACTTAATCATTTGTATATACACTGAAGTCTCACAAGCTTGTTTGTAAGATCTTTTTTATCGCTCCCAAATAGCATTGTCTTTGAAATTTTTTTAATTCGGGTATCGAGATTAAAATCCTGACCCAAACTCAATCATGATAATATCAAATTTTCTTCATAAAATGGTTAGGCATGGGTAGGGTGGACCAAACCTAAGTGAGTGGGCCCATGCTGAAAAGAATATGCTTGCTCATGCCTGTCCAAATTGTGTTTGTGGCTCGATAAACCCATGGAGTTGTCAAATTTATGGTCAGGTTTAGTTCAATAATTTATTCAAGAAAAAGGGAACCATTGATTGTTGTGATGCATTTCTTTCACTTTAAAGACGGAAGATCTATATGGCATTAAGAAAAAACAATTTAGGCTATGTTTTCCTCTAATAATGTTCCTCCAACCAAATGGGTGTTATGTATATCTTGTGAGGTAGTGGTGTGATATGGCGGTGATCACGATGGTTAGAGAAGTCAGCAAGGGCCATGGCAGAGTGATCGCGGAGGTGGTGAGCTCAGCTACAAACTGCTAGAGAGAAGAAATTAAGTTTTTTTAGCCGTGATTAGAGTTAATCATACGAATAAGATTTTATTTGTCACCATCAATTCTACATTTGATTGGAGGGATAGCTCAAATCATGTTGGCAGTCAAAACATAGCCCAACTATGCATCGAGTGAGACATTGAAATTAGCTCTCAAGGGAGAACACGAAAGAAAAATCACTGTACGTTTTAGCACCAAACACTAAGAAGAAGACAAACTTGCTTTCAAAATTTTGTCTCCAAACAAAAACACGGTGATTCGGATCTAAAAGCGGGACAGGCTTGTCGGGAGCATCTCAAAGTTCCATTGGCCGAAGGAAAAACACTTTGAACGAGAGTCCTCGATGCTGGAAGAAAAAGTGAAAGTATCCTCAAAATGAGGGAAAGGAAAAAGTGAAAGTGTCCTCTACAATCTCATCTTCTTCTTTTTTCAAACTAAAGCATGGTTTTTTTAAAGTTATTATGAAAAACAATTTAAGGCACATAGAGCAAGTAAATAGCAAGGGACCGGGGATCATATATTGTTTTGGCTTTACTTACGACATTAGTTTGGCAATATTAAACTATAACAACCATAGCAATGCAAAGCAACTGCTCGTGATAATTTTACATAAATGCCATTGAAACGATAATAAATAATTTTGTTCTTCGGTCAGATGATAATTAATAATTATATGATTTTAAATGTGCTCCTATTGAATCGAGAAGAGATCCAGACCGTCCACAAAACCCAATGATTCTTTCATCAATAGCATCCAATAGGATACAAATTTCCTTGTCCTTTTCCCATTCCAAATCTTTTGAATACTTTAGTATTTCTCTCACAGTTCTATAATTTAATTTGGATTTTTTTTTATAGAAAATTCATCATCCCCATTCTTCAATGACCTTTAGATGCAATTCATCATCCAACACCGACATACATGAAGAACAACAATAATTAGTATGTTAAGAAAGAACCAAGTAGGAAGCAAATGCTTCTAGCAGCAACTTACACACCCTATTAAGGACTATGTATCGAGAAATATACGATTGGCACACAAATTTTTTCACAAAAGCGAAGAAAGAAGAAGCGAGCAACGAAAAGCAATACCTCAATGATGCAATGAACGACGTCTGTGAAGTTGTTGAGAGCAGCCCATTGGAGAGCATACCATTAGCATCAGGAGTCGAGAGAGAGGCTCCCGCTTGCTCCACGAACTTGCTTAATTTCTTGAAATCGCCACACACACAGGCAGAGAACACATCGACGACAGCCGCTTTGTTGGGAGGGTTATGGGTGTCCGCCGTCCCAGAGGACTCGGTGACTTCGATCTCCGACAAATGCATACGAGTCACTGCATGCGATCACTGCGTGAAAGGTTGAATGGCGATCGAAGGAATTGCGGTTTAGCTGGGGGTTTATACATATAACTATCACTTGCTCACTGATCCGCTTTAATTTCTTGGTCGAACCTATCCTCCTTTTTTTCCTTCTTTTAAAACCTTTTTTATTAGTGAAGAAAAGAAGATGAGTAGATTTTTGGCAAAAAAGAAAAAAAGGACATGAACAGAAATTTTGAAATAGGGCTTGGGAATCAGAATTCATTTTCTAAAGGTGACAAAAGAAAATTACGAATTTGGTCTGAGCATTCTTCCGCACTACCATTGAACCAAATCGAAACCTTTTGGTTGAGAAATTGAATAAAAAAGGAATGGAATAACTATTCCCTCGGAATAGAATAGAGCACGAATAAGAATGAAATATCAACCGAGTTAGGTTGGCAAAATTTTATCTATATAAATATATGTGGCGACCCTCTCCATGCGGAGCATATTAGATATTTCTGCGAGACGAGTTGACGGCCCACTGAGTAGGTGCGGATGACTCCTCTTTCGAAGTGGCGCTCATACTTGGCTCGGATTTGACCGAATTTTAAATTTTCAGCCACAAGGGGTATTCAATGGGCTTGACCGCACGTAGCCTCCCAGCGTAAACCCATCCAACGCCAGTTCAATTTATGTGGGCTTTATTACTAATATAATGCTCCTAATATGTATATGCAATTGATAATATTTTTGTTTAGAGGTCGGGGTATTCCTGATTTTTTATGCAGTGAATGACTAAATGGGTTGCCAAATTTTAGATGTCAACAAAGCTCCGAAGCGCAACTAAGGTTATATTTAGATGGGAAAACTAGTCATAAAAGAGAGGAAAGTGAAACAAATAATTGCATGAACACAATTACATAAATAGAACTTCGTAACAAAATATTATTCCCTGGCGTTAAATTAAACCTCTAACGTAGGTAGGTCCCTGAGCCTGAATTTCTAGTTTGCAAAAGTAAAATGGTTTCTTGCATTTTACTTGGCCTCTAACCGGTCTTCAATAGTTTGGTGATTGCTCATAATAGTTAAAAAAAAAAAACATAATTACTGAGTTAAACCAAGTGGCTTCGTAGGGTTTGAGAAAACCCGAACCAAATATTTGTGCCACCTTGCAGGAGAGATTGTCCACGCTTACTTGGTAAACTGATAACTACCTTGGGGTGATATCTACAATTGCCTTGGGAGGGTCACAACAGGAATGGCCTAGGACAATTTTATAAAATGGGAATCCTTTGGGTGTGTTTGGTTCAGCATTTGGAAGAGGCTTTGGAGAAATGCAAAGTAATTTAGCCTAAAGGGCTTTGGAGAAATGTAAAGATTATTTGGTAAATTGTGCTTTGAGAAGTAACTTTGAAAGAAATGCCGTTTGGTAGAAACACATTTAAAAAGCCCCTTTAGATGATTAATTTAAGCTTTTTTATTTTTATTTATTTAAAATTGAAAAAATAATGTCTACAACTTTTTTAATTTAAATATTGATAACAACTTTAAAGATATCGTGTTAATTGTCGCTAAAAAATTTAAAAGGAAAATATTCACATCAAAGTGGTCTCTTTCTCAATAAAAAAAAAAAAGAATACTTTCATGACAATAAACGTGGTAACAAAGATTGTGTTATCCAAGTTGCTTCAAAACTATTGAAGCAAGACCAAAAGAAAGGATTATAGGACATTCTGGCTGAAATGTAACAGAGGTTTGTTTATCAATCAAACACATCTCAATCGTCAATTTTGCTCGCTCATTGTCCCATACAATGAGAGTTGAGATCGCCTTTTCTTAGAGAGAGAGAAAAATGGATACATAAGCAACTTTTTATTTGGCAATTGGAAGTTTAAACCTGAATTCACACAGAAATTGCCAACTAAGAGGTCTCTTTCGAAAAAAGTTGAAATGGCAAAAAACAAGATGTCACGGACATAAGTAACCAAATATAATATAAAATTACCAGCTTTTTGAGTTCATGTTCCAACAATCATTAAATTGTTATAAAAGTACTATTTGTTTCAATAGTTTACTGGTATTTATTTTTGGAAATTGCCGATTACCAATGAGTTAAAATGACCAATTTTTAAATGAAATGTCACTAATCACATACAAAAGTTACTATCATCTTCCCTTCTTGTAACGAATGTTACTAATTAACGTGAAAACTACAACTTTCTAAACATATATTGAAACTTTCTTTTTTTCTTTTGTACAAAAAGTTAACAACCACGTTAAAGAGTTACTATCTTCTGATAGTTCTAAAGTTGAACTTAATACCAATAAGTTTGAACTTACAATTGAAAATCACTTAACATGTAGAGGAAATTCAATTCTACCACAGAAAAAGTTACTAATCGAGATGGGAAATTTACTTCCGTGCCACTTACTAAACTCTATATAGTTTGCTTACCACGTTTAAAAATTTAAAACTAGCTAATGAAATTTTGGTCTTTTAGGTAACATGCAGTGGACTATTTATAAGCATCGTTCTAAAACAATCTGTGAAATTAGGTTATATGCCGTCCTTCACTCGAGAAGAAAGTAACTCTATAACGTGGTCTGGTTTAACGTGGCACCAACCTCAAGCTTTTAAGAGAGAAATCGGTTCATGAACATGGTATGGTTTGACGATTCAAAGATAAGGTTTGAATCGTCCTCGACTGTGTAAGTCTTCTTCAGTTCTTTGAACAAATGGGGTCTCACTCGCCAGCTGGTCCGGACATTCAATGGAAGAAGCAGAGCGTGTACTGGTGGCGAAGCTTTGATTTTTCGTCCCTTCTCGTTCACCGCCTGCGCCGTCTCTCTCTATAAGCTTCGCCTGCAACTGCGAGGAAAAGTTTTGCAGAGTTTCAATCATGCCACTTGCTTCTTGGTATTGCTCTTGCACAAGAGGAGCATTGAATCAATTCTAAGATCACGTTTACTTCCCCTTCTCCTCAACCTCCTCA